GACTGTTTAAGACAGTTGGGGATAGAGGTGTAGCGTTCTACCCTAAACCCTAAACCCTGAACCGATATGGGAACAGGGTCTGGTATTTTCCTTGTAAAAGCAAGGTTTTAGGGTGTAGGGCTTAGGGGAAAGGGTGTAGGTTTTTCGCTTCAGGGTTGGGCATGTAGGGTTGAGAGTTATGGAGTGCTTCGGTTGATGATATAAATCCTGCATTACCATTATGACCCTAATCTATGGGGATTATGGTATATTCCTTATTTTGGGTCATGCAGGATTTATATCATCAACCGTTATAAACGACTTATCTGTGAGAAAACAAGGAATAGGGCCCCTGTAGTTCTTTGTATGGTGTAGGTTAGAAGCTGCCCCCACCTGTAATAGTGACTGTAAGGATTATAGTAGGGCCCTATTATATTCCTATTATACCACTATTTCGGGGTGTGAGCCCCTTCTAAGGTGTAGGGTTCAGGGTCTAGGGTTTGGGGTTTAAGGCTTCGATTAGTGCTTAAGGCTTAGGGTCTGTGTTCCTTGAGCTATGTGGGGTGTCTGCCCACTTGCAAAAGGGGTGCTAAATCACCAAAGCCCTTTTTGCATGATGATCTGCAACTAAGATCAAAACCTAAATGGAACCTTAAGGTAAACCATGGTAAACCCCAAACCCTCCTAGAACCCTCCAAACCTGCCACAACCTCCTTCGAAATCCTATTGTTTGGGCACTTGGGCTCATGCCCGAAGCCTCAAAATGGCCTAAAAGCCTTATGTAGTGTGGTCTGAGTCTGGAGTCCTTAGAGCCTCAGGGTTAGGGTTATAAAGGGGCCTTGAAAATTAGAATCGGGCTTCGACGATATTCTACTTTAACTTTACTATAAGTATAATAAGGACCCCCCAAATAGTCTTGGTAAGTATTAGGCTCTTGTATTACTGTAAACCCCATAAAATTGGAAACCGGATTAAGGCCAAATGTGCTGGGATTCCCTATGCACTACTTAAGGATTGAAGCTATTGGGCTTCCAACTTTTGGGCTTTTACTGTATAGATCCCTTAAAGAGCCCTCTAAAGGAACCCTATGATTCCCCAAAGGAACCCTACTATAGATCCCCTTTAAACGAACCCTATGATTCCCTAAAGGAACCCTGCAATCTCCAACGATTCGAAATTCTTTAGGCTCTTCCTGGCCCCCAAAGGTATGTAGAATAATAGCCTTTTATGGGTTTTGGGCCATTATTTTACCGACCTTGGGCGGGTCTAGGTTGTATTAATCTCCAAGGATTCGAAAACAGGTTCCTTCAGCTGCCGTCGCCACCATCGGTGCTCCACAGCCGGTCGGACGGGTTGCCGCAGCTTGAAATTTAGGCTTTAACCCTTAGGGTCCCAAGGACCCAGTAATTAGGTACTCGGTTTTAGGATAGTAGTTATGTAGGCTAGGATTTGGGAGAGTATATGATAATTAGGTACCTGGACCCTCAGGGTAAGGTTGAGGGTTTAGGGTTCCTTAAAGGGTTCCTTGAAGGGGTTCGGTAAGGGATCTTTAAGGGTTTAGGCTTGAGGGTTTAGGGTTAGAGGTGTAGGGTTCAGGGTTTGGGAGTTTAAAGTTTAGGGGTTTGGTAAGTCCCCACACAGCAGGGTGAAGTTGTCTCCAGAAAATAGGGGCCACAGGGTATCATGTTGGCGCTGTGGATCTGCGAGTCTCGAATATCCAAGGCCGAAACTAGCCCACCAACAAAACTGTGTGTTACTAGACCCAAGAGTAACTAACCCAGCGACAAAGAGGGTCCGTGCTTGCTTTAAAGGGGCTTATAAGGGAACCTGAACCCTCAAAAAGGGAATAAGGGCCTACTCCGGCGTTGGGGCTCTAAGCCTCGTAACCGTAAGCCCAAAAACTGAACCCGAGGCCCTATACCCTCCCATACTTGGAGGATCATGCGACCTAGCAAGAAAGGTTACAAGTACCTGCATTGGGGTTATAGCAGAAGCCGAAAAATTGGAACATCATTATCCTCATGCCCTTAAGGTAAAGTAGAGGGAATCCTAGCACTAATTAATCATCCTAAACCTAAAACCTGCATAACCTTGATGACCCTAAACTATGGGAATTATGGACTCTTCCCTATGATGGGTAATGCAGGATTTCTATCATCAACCGTAATAAAGGGAACTTCATAGGAACTCCCTTAAGGGATCGGCTTGTTGGGTTCTCCCAGCGGTCTGGGAAGTAGCCTGGGTGGTGAAAGTACAGGATAGCCGAACACGACTTAGTTGTAGAATTCCGAAGCTGTTCAGGGGTTTTCGGGGTCTAGATTCCATATGCCACGTGAAGAGAACGAGTGATGCTGCGCGTCCTTCCCGGAAAGAATCAGTTGCATTGATTTGGCATTTACTGCCGATGCATGACAGCAGGAACTGCGAGAGTTCTGAGTCGAAGCTTCAGTTCGGCTGAGGGGGTTGGGGTTTAGAATTTAGGGTGGGCCCAAGGTTGTGAGGAATTTGAGCATTTGCAGGGTTTAGGCTTCAGAAACCTTTGAGAATGTAAATGCGGCTCCATCCGCTGACTGTAACTACATAGGAACCCTGAAAATGGTATTCGCAACTCTTTTGGCTTGAACAGTATCATTGCAGCATATACTTCAGGGTTAATGGGTTTAGGGTTTGGGCTGTAGGGTTTGTTTGTTATTGTTCTTTATGCCCTCTTTTCCTTTAGGGGGTTTTAGGGGTTTAGGCTAGGCGTCAAAACATCTACAGAGTATGGTCGCCCTTTGGGGCAGCTACGCAGCCATGACCATTCACCACTTGAGCCCGAGCCCCAGAAGGAGGGTTTAGGGTCAAGGGTTAAGGGTCGGACCTTCAGTGTCCATGTGCTGAATTACGGTTGATGATATAATTCCTGCATTACCCATAGTACGGAATATACCACAATTTCCATAGTGTCGGGTCCTTAAGGTAATGCAGGATTTAGATCATCAGCAGTATCATACACTCACCAAACTACTAACCCACGCTCCGCTGTGTATGCCCTGTTGCTCTAGCTAGCTTGAACTGAAGCTCCAAGGGCAAAACGAGGGACCCTTAATAAGGACCCCTAGGTATATACCCTTAATATAGCTATTATATTCCCATTATATAGCCCCATTATAGGGTAGGGGTCCCCATTAAGGGTCCCTCCTTTTCCCCTTTGAGAAGTCCTCAACCCCACAACGCACCGTGATATTATCACAGGTATACGGCCTTCTGAACCCCTCAGCAAGCCTCTCTTGTAAGATCCTGAACCCAACAAAACCCCCCAAGTAGGTAGAACAACGGATAAACGGCTAATGTTCTACATACTTTTGGGGTTCAGGTAGGCCCTAAGCCCCTCTTGGAAACCCTGCCTGAACCCCAAATAACCTTTCGGCGGGCTCCTTTTTCGGACTCCCTGATATACGTCCTCAGAAGTAGCTTGCCAGGGTCCAGGTAAAGCTTGGCAAACTTAGAGTTAGCGATTCGCATATTGTGTATGACTCAAATCACAAGACGGAACCTGACGGAATAGTATCACGAGTTGTTCAGACCCTTTTGGTGCAGTGCACTGCTTACGCGAACACTTCCCAGGAGTAAACTGTCACGCAAACCTGCCCCGGACACAAAACACACCCGCTATACTAAAAAAACACATGCAGCAGTGAAGCAGAATTCAAATGCATGATCCAGAAACATGCATAGCTGCACATAAATGTCGACCCCTGTTTACCGAGAGCTTTTGGATTAAGGACTATGCGGCTGTGATCGTTCATAAGCAGAACTAGTCGCCTTCGTGAAATGAACGCTGGACCATGCATGGTGCATGGTCAGCAGCCTGCCTTGCTTCGAAAATCGTAGGGTTTTAGCACAAGCAAAAAACCCTCAACCCTTACACAAAGGCACCGGGGTCTCAGTAAGCAGTTTCTAGAGTCAGAACTACTCCTGGACAACTTCTGCCGTTCCGAACCCTACTTTCATGCTGCTTGCCAAAGCCTTCTGCTCTAGGGAGGGGTCCATGCTGTTCGAGCCAGATATACTCTGATCTCAGAGGATCTTCCTGTGTGGTAGTTTTGCTGGGTTCTTGTTAAAAGATTTAGTTTAAGTTACCATAATAGGGATCTATAGTATAAATCGTATGGTTTCTTTTCATGGTAAATTTAAACTGAAACCCTTAACAAGAGCCCCTAAACCCTAAAACCTAAACCCAATAGATCACTTTAAAGAAGCCCTTCAAGATCACCTTAAGGAACACCTTAACGATCTCTGTAAAGGAATCCTTGAACAAGAGCCCAATTTGGGGAGCCCTAAACCCTGAATTTTCAAGGACTGTTTGCTTTACCCTAAGGCTCCAAACAGGGTTTTGGGCTTTCTGGGGGAGGGTTTTAGGGAGTTTAGGGTTTAAGGTTTAGGGTTTAGGGTTTAGGCTTTGGGGGCTAGGGCTGAGGACCCCACTCCAAGGGTCCAGGAGTCCAGGAGCCTTACTTGGAGGGTCGGGGGACTTAGTAAGTAGGTAGTAAGTAGACTTATAAGTACCCTAATAGGGACCCGAATTGGGGTTATGGTACTTATAAGCGCCTAAAATAACCAGTTACTAAGTCCCCCGACCCTCCAAGTAGGGTACCCTCAATAAGCACTTGACTGCTCATGGGTCACTGCGAGCATCGTCATAGGTATCTTGGTGACAGCTTTTAATTGCCAGTGTCTCATACGAACCTATGTACCAAGTCCCCTGTTCCTCTGGGTAGGGAATTCTCGAAATCCTACAGGGTCCAAATACCCAAATGGTAGGGTTTTAGGTCCCAAAACCCCATACTCTGAATGGTTTGTCTTTTGGGACCCCCAAACCCCTACGTATTTGGGTACTTGGACCCGCTCGGAGTTTAAAGAAGCGCTCACCCAAAGGGGTCCTTTGTACTGTTATGGGGGATACTTCCCCAAAATCATAATAGCAATTCCTCATATAGTAACCCTACATTCTACCATACAGGTACTTTGGACCCTTTGGGTCAGAGGTGCCAGCCGGAGTCTTTGGAGTCTTTAGTCTCCGAAGGCCGTGAGGACCCTGGAAGCAGCTGGTCCAGCTTCGAAAGTGCTCCTGCGATTATCCCAGGGACTCCAATATGCCTTAATGAAGGAATACTATGATTTAGGGGAATATTCCTTAATTAAGAGGTGTTGGAGTCCCTGGGATCGGGCTCTACTTGGAGGGGCAGGGGACTCAGTAAGTTTATAGTTAGGGTTAAAATTGGGATATTTTAGGATATTTATAACGCTACTTATATCCTGCTTACTAAGTCCACTGCCCCTCCACGCATAAGGGTTTGGGTTTAGGGTTTGGAGTTTCAGGTCCAGGGTTCAGCTTAGGGTATAGCGCTCTATCAGGTTTAAGGGTTTAATGGACTTGCGGTTTCATTTTTCCAAGTTTTATACTAGTGCTTTGGACCCGCGGAGCTTGGCCCAAAGCAGTGCGCATTCATTGTAACCAAGGCTCTAAGGACTCATATGTTGAGGCTTTTTGTGGGGGGCCTAGAGACCATGCTATATGAGGCTTTTGGGCCATTTTGAGCATCAGGGTAAACCCTAAACGCTAACACCCTGAACCCTAAACCCCTAACAGAAAGCCATAGAAGTCCAAAACCTAATCCCCGAAACTCACATCTCCAACCCGCGCAGCGGCCACACCCGCAAGCCATGACTTAGTCGTTTGTATCCCAAAGAGTCCTACGGTTGATGATAGAAATCCTGCATTACCCATAATAAGGCACATACCATAATTTTCATAGTTTAGGGACCTTAAGGTGATGCAGGATTTCTATCATCAACCGTAGGTACTGTTATATGGGGAATATTTCCCCAAATCATAGTAGTAATTCCTAATACAGAAACCCTACATTCTACTGTGTAGGTACTTAGGACCCTTTGGGTCTTTGAGGCATGTAACTACAAGACGATCTAAGGCGGTTTTGGGGCCTTAGGCGGGGCTTTGGGTGTATGTTGAATGCTCTTAACCCTCTAGATCCCTTAAAGGAACCCCTTAAACGTACTCTTATAAACCTCTTTAGAGGAACACCGATAGACCCCTTCAACGGTAAACCCCACTTGGAGGATCATGGGACTTAGTAAGCAGGGTTGCAAGTTCCGTATTTGGGTTGCAAGTAAAGGTAAGTATAGTTGCCTTACTTCTAACCCCGGTACCTAGGTCCCAGATCATCCAACTACGCAACCATGCAACTGTCCAATATGCAGCCCAGCCCGAAAAATCCCTACATATATAGAAACCCCTTCAATGCCAAAGTAAATACCACGTGGGCACATGGACCGGTAGGGTAAACTCAAAACACAACTCTAAAGCACCGCCTGGCCTGGGTAGACAGAAGCCCTACCCTAGGGATCAAAAAAGCCCAAAAGCCTTATATAGTATGGTCTTTGGGCCCAAAAACTTTATATAGTATGGTCTTTGGGCCCCAAAGCCTTCTATAGTATGCTCTTTGGGCCCAAAAGCCTTAATATATGAGTCCTTAGATCCCTAGGGCTACACACAGTAATTGACAAAGTCTTTGGCCCACAACAGGAAGACCAAGGTGCCTGTAAAGTGAGCAGTCAGGTTCAAGCCCTAAAACCCTAAATCCCAAATACCCAGACTTTCCAGTATCCGATAATGAAGGAACAATTATGGCTTAAGTCGTATTAAGTAGTATTAGGGATCCTGCTATAATTATTGACCCTTACAGGTCCTATTAAGGAACCCGTAAAGGTGTATTCCTTAACGAACGGAAGCATCTTACTATAATCTAAGGTCGATTCCTTAATTAAGCGGGACAGATCTCGCCATGCCTTCAGCTTTATCGAGAAGCCTTGCAACTGCCAATCGTGCAGACTGATAAAGACGTCGCCCAACTTCATCGCCCAAGACAGTTGTGTCTGCAAGCACATATGGGTGGTTGTCAAAATCATGGTCCCAATTTTGGGTCCCGATTATAGTACGGCACCTCTCATTTAGGGTACCCAGAAACGAGCCATAATGTTGACAACCACCCATATGCAATGCCTTGCACCCTGATGTTGCAGTCGGCGCTCGTGGTCTCCGATGAGTTCTGAGAGTTCGGGAAAGTACATGTAAGAGGTGTACGTTGAGCCGACACTCTGGTATGCCAACCTCAGGAAGCTGATCCGGGCACCAATTTCCATCTTACCACCTAGCCTGTTCCTGCTGACCGCACCCACAACAAGGTCTGTGCACATAGCACCCGATCCCATTGAGACAACTCCTGGGTGTGCAGCTGTCTGCCCGAGCGCCCCCAGGTGCCGTTTTCACCCTCCACTTAAAGGATCATGGGACTTAGTAAGTAGGGTTATAATTAAGGGAATTATATCTACTTATAACCCCAACTAGTGTACTTATAACCTTACTTACTGAGTCCCATGATCCTCGAAGTCGACCCTAAACCCTAAACCCCTTATAGACCCCTTTAAGGGAGCCCTTCAAGGAACCCCTGAAGTTACTTAGTCCCAAGATCCTCCAAGCAGTGCACCATCTAGCCAACCCAAACTGGCGTGCTGCCTTCTCTATGGTGTGGAGGTCGGATTGGCCCTAAACCTACACCCTAAACCCTAACCCTAAACCCTACACCGTGGCGCCCAGCAACCGGGTCTGTGTGTAGGGCTCCAGCTGTATGCTCGTGCTAAACACGCCCTTTGCTTCTTCCACTCGGCCCCGAAGCAGAGCCTTGAATCCCTATCCCTAGGCATCTAAGGACTCATATATTACGGCTTTTGGGCCCAAAGACCATACTATATAAGGCTTTTGGGCTATTTTGATGCCTAGGGTATGACTTGGAGGTTCAACAACGATTGCATTTCCATTGGGACTCATGGCTCCACAACTACCATTACAACTATAGTGCCATTACATGGGACTTAGACCTCCACTTATAGCTACCCATGAACCCCCAGGTAGAGGGAACCCTGGACTTCGCGTACAAAGAGCCAAAGCACACCGAAAGCGCCACACGGAAACAAGGACCATGTAGTTCGCAATAGTTCTTGTTGATGCCCAGAGGGTCCAAGTACTCCCTATTATAGGACTTTAGGGCCTTTTTAGGTACCCAAAACCATAAATAGGAACTCCTTGGACCCTTAGGGAATCTTAGGGATGGGGTTTACCTAGCGGTCGGTGATCATGGGTTCAGGCTTGAGCGTGCTTGTGGCTGAAATTTACCCTAACACGCTCAAAACAGCCCAAAAGACAAATACAGCATGGCCTTTAAGCCCAAAAGCCTCCAAATATGCGTCTTTGGAGCCTTATATGGTAAGGGTTACTATAAGGGTTCCTTTAAGGGTTTACGGTTTGGCTGTTTCATGTTGTTTCTACTAAGGCTTGGCATGTAACCAAGGAGAAAAGAGTATAAACTTGTATCTTATAATGGTTCCACTAAGGACGAAGTATGGCTATCCAAAGCCCAGTTTAAGGCAGTTGATGGTAACCATGACTAGGATACCCAGTAACCTAGGAACAAAAAGGCCTCTCTTTTTGGTATTGGGTAACTTTATAAGGAACCTAGGACTACAAAAAGGGAATAAGGGTACTACTTGGCATCCTAGCCCCTAATTCTCGGAAACCCTAAACCCTTTATAGAACCCCTATAGATCCCTTTAAGGAACCCTTATAGATCCCTTTAAGGAACCCTTATAGATCCCTAGTATGGTAACCATGACCGCAGGAGCCTGAAAGCATCCGCTCCACGTGGCTCAGCATTTGCCTCGCAACCTGGTGGGCGTGGCTTCGGGTGCAGCTGCTTTGGGGGGTTGTAGGGTTTTTTTTTGTTAAAGTGTAGTGGCCCTTTCTGCTCCGCATGACGATGTAGGGGTTTAGGGGTTACGTAGGGTTTAGGGGTTTAGGGCTCAGGATTTAGGGGTTTAGGGTTTAGGGCTCAGCTGATTTGGGGCGCTGAAAAGGGGCGCTTGAAGGGTTCCTTAACGGAATCTATATATGGGATTAGGGTTTAGGGTCTACTGGGAGGATCATGGGACTTAGTAAGGCTATAAGTGCCGTATTGGGTTATAAGTATAGTCTTGAGTATAGCTGCCTCGCTTATAACCCCTCCAGTTGTGGTGAGCCTAAGCCACGGTTTGGGTTTAGGATGAGGAATATTAATGAGGAGCCTTTTCAGGGTTTAGAGACACTCAAAGCAGATCTAGTTTGATGAAAAAGATCATCACAAGCCTCGAATGGAAAAGCCACTCAGGCACTAAATTGTCGCGTCCAACCTTGCCAGCAGCTCCAATGTCACATTCCTGTCCAAGCTACATGACAGAGTCCGGGTTGCACGCAGTTCGGAACAAGCACCGTCCGGAGAACCTCTTTGAGTACTTCCGTTTCTTCTTGTCGCCATCCGCTTTCTCAGGCTCATCCTTGCCCATCTCAGACGAGCCGTTGGCATCGGCATCCTGACCGAACAGGTCAAGCATGACAACAGCCTGGAGATGCTGGATAAGTCTTCTTGACAGGCAGGTTCAAGTGTTGGCGAACAACTACGGTTGATGATATAAATCCTGCATTACCTTAAGGACCCTAAACTATGGGAATTATGGTATATTCCTTATTATGGGTAATGCAGGGTTTATACCATCAACCGCAGGAGTCGGAGTTCGTTGTCTCAGCTTTGCTGCATATCATTCCCAAAGGGCCCATGACTGATCCTCAAGTACCTACATAGGGACTACAGTAAACCCCATAAAGTTGGAAACCGGACCAAGGCCAAATAGTACTGGGATCCCCTTTACATTACTCTTAAGGATTGAGGCTATGGGGTTTCCAACTTTTAGGCTTCTACTGTACTTTAAGGCCAAAGTAGTACTACTCGGCTACAGATTTCGAGTCCTATGTAAGGGCCTTCATGATTCGAAGAGGGGTCTGGGGACCTCATATTGCTTCTTAAGCCGTCATAAGGATTCGAGTTGAAGGTTTAGGGCTTAGGGTTTCGAGTTTGGGGCTTTCAGTTTGGCTGTTTAGCCCTAAACCCTAAACCCTAGGGTGCTTAGCCCTAACCCTAAACCCTAGGGTGTTTAGCCCTAAACCCTAAACCCTAGGGTGTTTAGCCCGAAACCCTAAACCCTAGGGTGTTTAGCCCTAAACCCTAAACCCTAGAGTTCACTCGAAAGCTCCTAAACAGATTTTCTGCTCGAAGGATCCTAGGGGAACGGAGTTTGCCTCGAGCCCAAAGAAAGGATAGGTTAGAAGGGGCCCCCACCCTGTAATAGTGGTATAATAGGAATATAATAAGGCCCTAATATAATCCTTATAGTCACTATTACACTATTACAGGGTGGGGGCAGCTTCTGAAGGATAGGAATGAGCTCTAGCCCTCCCCGTGATGCTCTTGGTTATTGGCCTTGCTTTGATGGGACCCTTATAGAACCAATTATAGAAACCCTACACCGCAAAGCAGTACAGAACCCCTAAAGAATCACCGATAAGACCCCTAAAACCTGAACCCTAAAGCCCAAACCCTAAACCCCTAAACCCTAAACCCCTAAACCCTAAACCCTAAACCCCTAAACCCTAAACCCTAAACCCCTAAACCCTAAACCCTAAACCCTAAACCCCTAAACCCCGGACCCTTGTAGCGAGGTCCCAAACCCTAGCCCCCAGAGCCGGAAACCTCCCCTAGAAGCAAGACCCTCTTAGAAGCCTCAGGGCCTTAGGGCAAAATCCTAAAACCCTAACTAAACCCTAAAATCCTAAACCCTGAACCCCATAATCCTAAACCCCTACAACCCCCCCCCTAAACCCCCCCTTTCGCCTTGTTCTCATGACTCATCTTGGCCAAGTGGAGGCTCTTGGCCGGCCCGTGGAGCTGCCTCGGCTTCCGGAGGGGCTTTGGGGGTTTAGGGTTTAGGGTTTGGGTTTAGGGTTTAGGGTTTAGGGTTTAGGGTTTAGGGTTTGGGTTTAGGGTTAGGGTTTAGGGTTCAGGGTTGAGGGCGCGCCCCCCAGGCGCATCTAAGGGCTCATATGGGTAGTTGTCAAAATTAAAGTCCCTTTTTGGGTATCCTAAAGAATAGGTGCCGTATTATAATAAGGACCCAAACAGGGACCATAATTTTGACAACCACAGGGGTCCTTTCAAGGGATCTATAGGGTTTAGATTTCTAAGGGCTCATATATTAAGGCTTTTGGGCCCAAAGACCCATACTATATAAGGCTTTTGGGCTAGTTTGATGCCCAGGGTTAAGGTTCAAGGCGTCAGGGTTTAGTGTGTATAGGGTTTTAGGGTTTGGGGGTTTAGGGTTTAATGGATTAGGGCGTTAGGGTTTGGGGCTTTAGGGCTTTGGGGCTTAGGGTTTGACCCCAATCGTATCGCCCCCTCCCAGTGCCAGCGATAGTGTTTCTTGTTGAGCGCCCTCTTCATAATTATGTGAAGGGGAAGCGTGTCGTTCCGCAAAGGGGTGGCAGGGGGACGGTTCTCCAAGCCTCACACACAATAGAAAGGGATTGCAAGGTGTTATGCGGCCTTAGGCTGATGTAGGATTGCATGCCCAGGTTTTGTGGGGCTTATAGGGTTTACGATGGTTTCGATAAGGTCCTATGACAGGGGAAAATTGGGAAGAGCTTGGTGACCAAGTAGTCCCCAAACCTGAGACAGGGTGATGGTGGACGAACGAGGTTGCTTGTGCTTGGCAGAATCGCACGAGCCAAGGGTTTAGTCTTCGTGTGCCAATCCTGCTACAGCTCAGTGGGTGTGCGGGCTACACTTCAGCATTGTGTGAACTTGTTGTTTAAGTTTTAGGCCAGGTTTTAGGATTGATAACTTACGACTCAGGGCTTGGGATTCGGGGTTAAAACATTTGAGGTTTAGGGTTCAAAAATTAGGATTTCGGGATTTACTGCTTGCTCTATGCAGATCTACCCACTGCCCATAGACCTAAACAGTCAACATGTCAAAACGAAATGTCCGCCTCTGCCGCTTTCAAGTCAAGTCACAATAACCCCCCCGCCCAGTGCACATAACGTGAAACTGCGCCCACACACAAACTACAAGCATGCCAAATATAGAGGCCTGAACAAGCAATATAGCAGCCGCTTGGGTGTATATTGGAGTGATTAAAGGGATATCTGCAAAGGAACCCTAATTACTTAGGCCCCTCCCCTACCTTTTTTATTGGAGTATAACTCCAGCGGAACCCTAATTACTTAGGCCTCTCTTCTGCCTGTGGGGCTTGTGCTGCAAGGCCGGGCTACATGCAGCCTGACACGAACTCATCCAGCCCAATCAGCCCACCTTGCTTTTCAGGATTGCGGTGTTGGGTTTAGAGCATGTTTCCGGGGTTTGAAGTTTGGAGTTTAGACTTTAAGGCTTTCGGGCTAGAAAGCTGGAGTTGGAGGTTGTTGCGGATTGAGGCCCAGGGGTATACGATACAAATGTCCTAGAGATAAAGGGGAGGGAAATGAGCGATGACATCGGATCGTTCCGACCGCAGCCTAAACCCTCAACCGTTCACCATAAACGCCACTAAACCCCTAAACCCGTCTAAACCCAAACGTTAACTTAGAAGCTGCCCCAACCCTGTAATAGTGACTATAAGGATTATTTTCGGGCCCTGTTCTATTCCTATCATACCACTATTGCGGGGTGGGGGTCCCTTCTAAAGTATAACCCAACGGCTGGGAGCCGTGATCCGAAGTTCTAATCTGGCTTACTTAAAGGATCATGGAGCTTAGTTGCTAAGGTTCCTTGAAGGGCTCCTTCAAAGGGATCTATAGGGGCTCCTTAAAGGGATCTATAGGGTTTAGGGTTTAGGGTCTACTTAAAGGATCATGTAACTGAGTTACTAAGTAACTATACTTATAACTAATCATGACCCCAACTAAGGTACTTATAACCTTACTTACTAAGTCCGATGATCCTCCAACTAGGGTTTTGGAACCTACTTGTCGGGTATCATGGGGAACTTGTTGGTTATATAGGGATTATATTTATATATAATATAGGGGCTATACTACCCAAAAAATGGTTAAAGGTTGCGTACTCTACCACTAGGAGAATAGTCGGAGGACAATCCTTGAATTACGGTGGACCTCGCGGAACAAGCCGAAGCAAGGGAGATTGGGTTTTCCGGGATTCTGCCAAACCTTTCATGCGAGACTCAAACCCAGACCTCGTAATCATGATACGCAAGAACCGCAAAACTCTAGATGCGACAACATCAAAACGCAGTAGAGGGGCCTGAGTGTTCAAGAGACAGCTGCTCTTCAAGTGTAACCACCTATTACTGATAGTCAAACCCACCACACCACTGGCTGATTCTATAGATAGCAAAACCCGAAGCCAACAAAAACGATCATGACATATCGAGCCTACACGAAGAGCCATTGGCGTACCCTTGAATGAACCACTGGGCGGCCTTGTAAACCCTCGCTCCACACCACCACCACCACCACCACCACCAACAACAACAACAGCAGCAGCAGCAGCAACAACAACAACAACTGCTACTTCTACTGCTACCGCTACTGCTCTACTGCTCTACTGCTCTACTGCTCTACTGCTCTACTGCTCTACTGCTCTACTGCTACTACTAAGTCCTACTACTACGGCAACGACGACGACTACGACTACGACTGTCACTAGCGCGACGAATAAAAGTAGTGATAAGTTGTCATAATGACACCACCCAGTACCAAATACCAAAACATCACACCGAAACGCTGCCACACCAACTTCGTGGCTCACCGCTACCTTGACACTGCGACCACGACGACGCGGCCACGACCACTGCTGCAGCATCAAGAGCAAAATTGTCATTGATGATGTTTCTGTAATCACTTTACACTAACTCGTTGCATGTGATTAGCACGACAGAAACTCACCACTTGACCCCTTGGAAGAGGGAGTGCAGTACTTCTCTAGTCCAGGCGCTCTTGTCCACATCAATGATCATAAAGAGGGTCCAGACGTCCTCGTGCAGCTGATGAGGACGCTGGGCACCAAACCCTAAAGACGTAAACCTGGCGCCCTAAAACCCTAAGCATGCAAACAGACTTGAACCCTAAACATTGCTGAACCCTACAAACCATAAATCCTCCGTCCTCTTCTGGAGCCCGTACAGTAGGACTTATTATAAATGGAACCATTGAAAAGAGAAACTAAGCACCTATCCCGAAGGGCATCAGTACCTCATAAAGCATATACTCCTGAATATGCTGAGTCACAGCTAGGTACTACTCTCGAGCGCAGCACTCGCGCTCAACGCCCTCTGCCTCGTCCCTAAACCGTAAACCCTAAACCCCTAAACCCTAAACCGCTGCACCGGCGTAAGGTCCTCGTCAATCCGCCTCGGTGCCTTGCTATGCCGGAGCAGCTGCCGACGGAGGTGCTCCAACCCTAAACCCCAAACCCTTAAACCCCTAAACCCTAAAACCCCTGATTGAACCCTAAACCCCTAAACCCCAAACCCTTAAACCCTAAACCCGGGCCCTTGGGTGGAGTCACCGGGGCCTGGGAGCCAAGGCCTTCCTCTTGCACGTGCTGGGGTGGGGTCCACCTCCCAGAGAGCCCAACACCCTTTAATTAAGGAGTATACCTTAAGTTATAGTAGAATCCATTTCAAGGACCTCTTAGGAGAGCCCAATACCCCTTAACTAAGGAATATACCTTAAACTCTAAGGGGATTCATATTATGATTTAAGCTATATTCCTTAGTTAAGGGGTATTGGGCTCTCTGGGCTTGCAGCGTGACAGCCCATGCAGTGCTGGTAGTAGTCCGCCTCCTCATAGCTGGACGCACACGTTGGACCGTAGAGTACTGGGATGTAACCCAATGTGTGCAAATCCGAGCTCTCCACATGAGATAGGATCAGTACGAACTGGTGAAAACAGGATTCGAATGAAACTGTGTCGGGAGGGGGGGGGGGGTCTTGGTAAGAATGACGCGATACCGATGAAGCTATCCTGGATTATCCTGGTTCGAAAGACCCACAGTAGAACATGCAATGCTTTGTTAAACAATGGAAACCTAACCCTAAACCCTTGTCCCCAGATGCTCCTCAAAGCAGATGAGACTCCTGAACCTCTCAAGTTGTCAAGCCCCCCGAACCCCTAAAGGGAACTCCAGAAAGTTGGAATATGGATTAATGGTAGGATCCCCTATAATTTACCTTAAAGGGGTTACGATAATGAAACTCCAACTTTCTGGCTTCTACTGTAAATCCGTAAACCCTGGCCCCGAAAATCCCCAACACCCCAGGAAGCCCTGTACAGTCAGGAACCCCTCGTCTAAGCCATATCATATAGCAAGCCAAAAAGAAATCACCAAACCCTATAACCCTGAAAGGAACCCTTATAAAGGATCTGAACCTTCAAAGGAACGCTTGCAGGAACCCTTACAGTAATCGTTGATTATGGTAGCCATTCAAGGAACCCTTACAGTATCCCTTCTAGTAACCCTTAAAGGAACCCTTATAGTAACCCTCGTGGTAGTCGTTAACGGAACTCCAAAGCAAAGGCCTGCGTTGAGATGCCCATGGACTCCAGGAAGCCTCTTCGGCTTCTTTGGTGCAATATGGGAGTTTCCAAAAATTAGGGGTACCTTATTTTGGAGTCCTTATAAAAAGGATCCTACTATTTAGGGTACTATATTGGGGTCCCGCTATTTTCGGAAACTCCCATATAGCTAGTAAACCCCAGAAAGTTGGAAACCGGATTAAGGCCAAATAGTGCTGGGATTCCCTATACACTACTATTCAGGATTGAGGCTATGGGGCTTCCAACTTTTTGGCTTCTACTGTAGCTAGTTCATGGTTGGGATAGGATTAAAAAACTTAGATTTTATTCCTTATTGGGTTGAAGTACCCATCAAAAATGTAAAATGTTACCCAACTACGACAAAGATAAGGCCTTAATACTCAGAGTGGGGTTCTGGGGCCCGTGATTCTGTAATTATAACAAAGAGCCCCTTAAAATAGTATAGGTAATCCGGTCTGGGTCTTAATAGGGAATGGGGGAATGGGTTATGGGGACTATAGTATTGGGGACTTTCTAGGGGCTACTATAGGGATCCATTCCCGAAATTGCCTACTAATCACCAGACAGTCTTCGGCTGGTTTAGGGCTTAGGGTTTCGGGTTTAGGGGTTTAGGGTTTTAGGGGTTAGGGATTTGGGGTTTAGGGGTTCGGGGGTTTGGGGTTGAGGGTCTTGGGTTTAAGGGCTTGGGGGTTGATAGTTGTTGTTTTAAGGGTTTGGGGTTTCGGGTTGAAGGGTTTTTAAATTTCAGGGTTTAGGGCGGCGTGGAACTTTAAACCCTACATCCTAATTACACCCTAAGTCTCCATAGGTTCCTTTTAAGGGGTTGTTTTAAGGCTTACGTAAGCATCTTTGGCTTGGGGCTGAAAGCGTAGATGCGTAGAGTTCAATTTTCAAGGACTTCAAGTTTCCAGCTCCTTTCAGGGATCCTTCAAAGGGTTCCTTTATGGGCTCCTTACGGGGGATCTTTAGGGACTCCTCTCGGGACCGCTATGTTAAGGATAGAGCTCCTGTCAAAAGCTCTTTATTGAAGGGCTTTACAGGGGGTTTAAGGTTTGAGACATTGTATAGTGTTTGGGGGACCTAATAATACTAGCCTGGCATGTTGTTGTATTAAGGGACAAGAAGGGATACTAGCGCACAATATTTGGGCTTCTATATCTGGGTTCCATCCAAGAGCTTGCTTTTGTGGGATCCTGTGAAGGGCCTCCCTTATGACTGTCTGGTTCTGAGAACCAGACAGGGACTTCAGATACCCTAAGCCCCCTTGTAGAACCCTTATAGGACCCCTCAAAGGAACCCTTTAAAGGAACCCTTAAAGGAACCCCATTCCCTACTAAGAACCCGACAGAAGAGCTACATAGGGATTCCGAAGTTATGGGTTCAAGGTGTCCCTGTACGGCTTCAGACCGCTCAGCTTAAGGTTTGGGTTTGAGGGTTTGGAGCTTTCCTGGCTCTCTTGCAACTGGCTATGGTCGAAGCCATACGGTTGGAACCATATACTCTCTATGCCCTTACAAAGTAAAGTATAAGGGATCCCCGCATTCGTCATCCTAAATGAAAGTTCCAACTTCCTGGGTTTCGCTCTAGAGGGTTGAAAGAACTGTGGAGAAGCCTAATCCTTGGCCCGAGACCTCAAACCCTAAATCCTAAACGGTTACTTGCAGGATCATGGGACTTAGTAAGTAAGGTTACAAGTACCTTAATTGGGGTTATAAGTAGTTATAAGTATAACTATCCTAAATGTAACCCTAGTTACTAAGTCCCATGATCCTTTAAGTAGGGCTGTCGGGTTCTGGGGTTGGCGGTTCTGAGATGCAGGTGTGCTGCGGCTTGGGGCATCGAGTTGAGGTTTTGGAGTTGAGGTATGCGAGGGTTGTAGATTTTTAGACATTGGGGCACGGCTCCCGGAAATACAGAACAGCACAGGACCTCCGGCGTGCAAAGGCACTTATGTGGGGGTTTCCGAAAACAGGGGACCCTAACATAGTACCCTAATAGTAGGAGTCTTATTCTAAACACCCAAAATAAGGTACCCCTAGTTTTCGGACACTCCCAAACCCTCAACCCCAAACCCTATAGATCCCTTATAGGAAGCCTTGCAGGAACCCTTATAGATCCCTTTAAAGGTACCCCCTAATTTTCGGAAATTCCCATGTGGCTGTGTCAAACGAGTCAGACTCGATGACGCGTAGAAGTCTCTCAACCCTACTTGGATGTTCAGGGGTAGCTTTTAAGTGGGGTTGTAAGAAAGGTAACGACAATTATAAGCCATATTCGGGGACTTAAAACTACAGTTATAACTACTCATAAACCTCCAAGTATCCTGCCGTAAACCCTACCTCAAACTACCACAACCTACTCTTTCACCCTTTTTTGTAGGCTCTGAGTAAGTATATTATGCGTTAAAATGGAATGCATTCGGACCCCGCAGACAAAGACAAGTAGGCTAGGCTTTGGTACCTCAAGGTGACCTTAAATTCGAAAACTCCACAACAGCCGGGGGTAACGAGAAATCCGGAAAACAGCGTTTGGCCTGAAAGCTTCCCAGTCTGGATGGCATCCTGTTTTGGAGTCGATTAGGGTGCCACTTGAGGGCTCAAGGGTTGTTCTGCAACACAGGGTCTTGTAAGTTAATTTCGAGGTTTCAGCTAATGGGCGCTGCGAATCCTTTCAGCGTGTGTTTTCAGGGTTCCAGCAGGGCTCTACACGGTTCTGCAAGCGTTGAGACCGGCATATCATCTTTAGGTTCTACACGGCTGTTGCAAGGACTTTGTATGGGCTCGAACCGGGGCTCTAAAAACTCTTATGACTTGTACGGTGCTTCTTTAGAGATGGGTTAGCAGGGTTCAAGGCGGTTCTCTTACATATAGATGCAGTTGTACGTAGAAGTTGGGTTTGGTATAACTAACTATCTGATAGATGCAACCGCAATACTTTGGTATATTTCTTTTCAAGCGACTGGTCGTCGCCTTCACGATTATGTAGTATCTTGCTTGCTCATTTTCCTTGGGGAACTAATGCTTGACCTTCTGGGCATTATAGATCGATGATCTACGGTTGTTGATACACCCTGCATTACCTTGACGACCCTACACTGTGGGAATTATGGTATCTTCGTTATTATCAACAAGGTAAAGAAGTTACTTACTGTTTCCGCGATCTCCCTTTTTACGCCTGCAAGCCCTAAAACCCTGAACCGATCTCGTGGATCTCGAGCCAGCTCGGGAACTGAGTCACAACTGAGTCACTCCTGCTGACGTTCCACCAGATTCGTGCTTTCTGCTCGGTTTACGGTTGCATAAAGCGCTTAAAGCTTCTATACGGCTTTAGGGCTGTAGGGTTTTATGAGGTTCTTTTACAAGTGAGGTTCGTGCTCTCGGCTCAGGCAGGATTTAGGGTCTCACAATATTTAATGATATTGCGGCTTCTAGAGGGCCTTGCCGGGTTCCTTGACAGGGGCCTTTTAAAAGTGACCCCAAGGAATGCCATCAGGGTACCCTCTGTCAGGGGACCCTTAGGAGCCCTACCATAGTTCCCGAGATTTAGGACGCAGGATTAGGTACACCTGAGTCTGGCCCAACGACGCTGACCCTGTCGGAACCACACAATGACAGCAGCTTTAGGTGCGTTTGCCCAAGATAGTATGGAAACCGACTTAAACCCTTAAACCCTATCCCAAACTCCAGACCCTAGATGGTGTTTGGGATAGGCCACAGTGCGGGTCTAGAAGGAGTCATGTATCGTGTCTGTTGCTGTTCATTTGGTACTCGAAGCATAAGAACTCTAACCTCCGAGCCTGACCCCTAAACTGCTTCGTGTTTGGATGGTTTGTGTTCAGGGCCCTAAGCTTTAAAGTGGAAATCCCGAGGCCGAGGTTGAGCGGAATGCATCCACCCCGCTTTCGTCACGCCTGCAATGCGCCTCTGTGCAGTGACGTCGAACGACGTTGGGCTGCTCATGAGAGTCTTCCTTGGTTTGTTTATCCAGCTTGTGTAATGTAGGAACCGGATTAAGAAGCCTTGGGCCTTCATTAGGGACCCTTACAGGAACCCTACTATTTTGGGGTTGTAGGCCCAGGTTTCTTAGTCAGGTTCCTACATTAACAAGACCTGCTGCCGCCTCGCCGAGCACCAGCGATGAGCTTCAAAACGAGACTTTTTTTGGCCGTGCCCGTGCTGGAAGAATATCATTTTCGAGCACAGCCTCCCCTAAACCCCATATCTTGAAACTCACCGGAGAGTTGTTGAAACTCATTTCGCCTGTCGGTGCCTGCGACTGAATCTGCAGTCTGAGCTCGGCATGCTGGGCGTACAGCGCTGCTCCGAACTCTTTCGAGTTCATGCTTCGAAGCATGCTCAGCATAGATTCCGAATCGAACTGCTTGCCATCGTCACCTTCCGCCATATCCAGCCAGAAACAGCTCATAACACCACGAGTGGCCTTGTCTGAGAACCCGCGTGAAAACGGAAGATGCATCAGGCATGGCATGAATGCTGCCAGATTCGTTCCTAAAGGGTCCTTAGTATAAAATCACAGAATGTAGGGTTTCGACATTAGAGGAAGCATTTTTATGATTCGGGTTAGTACGGTATCCCGCACAACAATACCTAGGACCCTTTGGGGTTATGACGTTGAGGATCGAGGTCGCCCGATCGCCGCTCGTCCGAATCTTCTCTTCGACGAACAGCCTGCTCCTGAACCCTGGCAGCTAGAGCCGTCCAGAGCCAAAACCCTTAACTCTAAACCTTTTGATACAAACCCTAAACCTTAAATCCCAAACCCCTTAACCGAAACCCTACACCTACACTCGTAAACCCCTTAGTCCAAATCCTACACCGTAAATCCTAAGCCCCTTAACCGAAACCCTAAACCTCAAATCGTAAATCCCTTCCTCGATACCTTGAAGGAACCCTGAAGCTTCCTTCGAAATTTAAAACCCAGCCTGCAGCTCTTTGAGGCTGACCACACTGGTCTCCTCGGCTTCAGGCTTTCTCTTTTGTTGCGTTTAGGGTTTAGGGTTTAGGGTGTGTAACAGTATGTGCGCGGTGGGTGCGCCTTTTACTTTAGGAATAGGGGCGCACCCACTAATCACGCGCTTGCGTCAGCATGTAGTCCCGCCCCAACCACGCCAACTATTCTCAATTAGGGTTTAGGGTTCACCCCCCAAACCCCCCTCAAGGGGGGCTTTCTTGCTCTCTGCTTCCTATCGCAGCTCGACATGATCCAGAAATCACAACTGAAATTGATTGCTGTCGGGTTGTGGGTCCTCGCGGCCTGTGCCGGCCGCTCGACGAAAAGCAAAGGTTCCAACACACAACTTGGTTCTCGCGCCCTGTATAAGGGCTGCTCGAAGTGTGAACAAGGCAGGGCAGGGCAAGGAGGAGGTCAGGGCACCAGCCAGGCAGGGGGATGCCAGGCAGCGCAGAGGAGGGCAGGGCAGGGAGGGCAGGGCAGGGCAGAGCCGCCGACGTCCTTTTTGGAGGGGGCCCCCCTCGCCAGACCCAAAAACACCCTCATGGTGAGGGGTTTGGGGTCCTCATTAACGGACAAACGTCCGTGTTGTGTGAGGCGTAGCCAAGTCATTTCCCTCCCCGTGTACCGGGAGGCTTTACCCTCCCTCACCGTCTTGTCGAGACGCTCGGCCGGGGGCCTCGGTCGGAGCCTCGAGCGCCCATACAAATGCTCAGCGGCGCTCTCGGCAGTTTAGGGTTCAGGGTTTAGGGTTTAGAGTTTAGGGTTGAGGGCTTAGGGTGTAGGGGCGTATGGTCCAATTAACTTTTTGGGCTTTAGGGCTCAGGGTGTTGAAAGGTGTTTTGGATTCAGGGTGTTGAGGAAATTTTGGGGTTTAGGGCATTGGGGTCCAGTTTGGTTTACGGGTAGTGGGAATTTACGGCATTTAGGGTTTGACAACCACAACTACGACGTTTACGAATACGACAACCGACACCACTATCACTGCCATCGTCACCACAACTACCCTCCTGATTAACTCCTGCTGCTGCTGCTGCTGCCACGACGGCCACTATTCGCGGATACATGATTGCGGATCATGGCCATCATCATATCTGTCATCTTGAAGCGCCCTCAGTATCATCAAAAATTCCAGTCCCCAGCCGTTTGTGTTTCGGCCTGTAACACGTCAAGCACTCCAGCAACATCGTCACAGCCAGGGCCGATGCGCCGACGTATGCAAAGGGACTGACCCTGGCAAAAAGCTGTTGTTTAAACTGGCTGACGAATGGAACCTTGGCATGACAACACTCTGGCCTGATGCAATGCCGGAGAGTCATCTGGCCATTCTGCATGCAGCGCATGGTTGGGAACCCTGGTGAATGCTCTTAGCCCTGCCTGAGAAGCTTCGAAGTGGCCGTCGTACTCGGAATGATCATCATCTAGCTCCAAATCCAACCGAACGACAGGCAAGGAACCTTTAACGGTAGGATGTAGCTCTAAAAGAATACTGCGGAATCAATCCTCGAGCATGGGGTACACCCCCCGCAAAACACTGCACAATCGGACCCAATCGGAACATCAGCATCAAAACCACCGCAGATTCAAAACCCACTCACTCAGGGTACTATGCCGAAAACTATAGGTTCCTGCATCTGACCCAGAGGGTCCAAGTACTCCCCATCATAGGACTTCAGGGCCTTTTTAGGTATCAAAGACCATAAATGGGAACTACTTGGACCCTTAGGGTGACTGAAGGCAGGATATAACCTCGACTTCAGAGGATTTGGAGTCTCTGGGTGACCATGAGCAGGTTCCCCAGTAGCCCCATAGCACGAAGGATTTAGGGTTTAGGGTTTAGAAGGATTTTCTTTTTCACTACAGCTTGAATAAGGGCCCTAAACAAAGGGCGCAAGGGTACTAACGGTTTCCACTCCCTAAGGCTACTAGACCCTTAAGTGAGATCCCACAACCTGGGTCTTGCAGCCCAAACCCTGCCCAAAAAATCTCCGAGACCCTCTCAGGAGCCTCAAGGTGCTCGAAACACCTGAACCCTAGACCTCCTCTGGGACCGGGCTTTCAGGTTCGTCGATCCCCTCTCAAAGATCATATCACATGGCCCAAGATTTTAGGGCCTTAACTATTGATTAAGATCGGGCATCGGCGTACAGTATCTTCATACTCAGAAATAGGAATCTGAAATAAAAATCTGATTCATTCAGACCGCTACATAAAAATGGTGTGGGCCGTTGATCTTAGAGTTAGCGTCTCCTGTTCAGAGTTTAGGGGTTCAAGGTTTACGGATGTGAGAGTAAGTCTTACACTTCATGCTCACATGTCCTCGTCGTCCATTTCTCGGAAAAACCCACGCAAGGTTTCCACCTGCATCTGTCGGTGGACCCAGAAAGCCTAAAGTTAGGGTTCATTTTGGGGCTCGGGGTCCAGACACTTAAGGCTTCAGGTTTTAAGGTTTAGGGCTTAAAGCTTGATCCAAAAACTTTGTGTGACTGTCAGGGTTTGAAGAGTGTCCTATCAGGGTTCTCGGAGGAGGTTCTAGAAAGATTTTAAGGTGTTATATTGCTTTCGTACTGGTTCCATACAAGGGTTTTTGGATCCAAACAAGCAAGCCCTAAACCCCAAACCCTAAACCGCAAACCCTTGACCCTGAACACTGAACCCCTAAACCCTCTCCCTTATAGAGCCCTGTGATTTAAGATGCCTAAAATGCCCTTATAGATGAGATGCTGCGTACGCTCTGGGAATGGGCCCTGCCTGCTTTGGATAGACAAACCGAAACGACTGGCTTGGAGGTTTGCCATGCGAGAGGGGGCATGGTGTCAGGGGCAGGGGCAGGGGTATATTAGGCGGGTAAGGGGCGCAGAAGGGCCAGGGAGTGCACGGCGTCCGCCGCGAAACTCAGTGTGACCGGCGTCGGCCAAAATTTGCTCAGCTTTACGCAGCAAGGCTGCTGCGGAATCTGTCCCGCGGAATGTCTTGCCGACGCCCGAATACTGGTACTGGATCTCGCCAGTTTGGGTGTCACTCGCAAGTTGCGGGGCAGAGCTCAAGCAGGGCCATCAGTCCCTGAGTCCTTGCCTGCCGGCACGACAGCAACACCCATCTCGCTCCACTTCTGGCTCTCGTCCGTGACTTCGGATTCATGTTTCGGCTTCGAGGATCTGTCTTGAAACTGAAACTGTGAACTTGTTTGTCGATAGAGAAAGCTCGCACCTGCTTTGAAGACTACCTGTAACCCCAAGCAAAAGGGGTCCGAAGGATTCTAAAATCCGTTAATTCGGCGATAGACCTACCTACCTTAAACTACTATAACCTATTTTCTTGTAGGTGCTTATGGACCCCGAGAACATATAGGGACCCTACAAGAAAGTAGGTCGTGGTCGATTAGCTAAGGTGGATTATGAATCAAATGAGTGGTGCGGATTCTCTGGCCACTTACTCAGTGGCAGAGTCGATAAGGGGCACAGCCAAAAGCTCCTTTCAAAATCGCTGCAGGGCCTGGTAGAAACCCTGAAAAACTCGATTTCAAAACCGGTAAAGAACCTATAAAGCCCTAGAAGCACTCATGAAAGCCTGTGCATTAGCCTACAAAGGACCCTTTTACGGTACTTTCTTACTGCTAAGGGTGCTAAGGCTGCTGTTGGACCGGCCTGAATTCGTTGCCTCTGTATCTGCTTCATGACGGCAATCTCCTTGGCCGTGCTTTCGGTGCTGTCGGGTTCTGAGGGTCCATATACACTACCATTATGGAATTAGGGCCCCAAAACCACAATAGGGATGGTCTTTTAGGACCTAATTCCATGATGGTAGTGTATATGGACCCTCTGGCTTTGGGATTTCTGGACGGCTTCTGTCAAGGGGCTCTGCAAGAGTTCTACAACTTGGCCATGCTCCGGGATTATTGGAATTATGGGGTTTAGGGTTAAGGGTTCAAGGGTTTAGGGTTTATAGGGTTTATAAGGGGTGTAGGGGTTAAGGGTTTAGGGTTCTGGGGTTTAAGGGTTTAGGGTTTGAGGGTTTAGCCTGGTCACGGCAATCACGCTTGCACCTCTCATACAGTTAGGGTCGGAGGTCTGAGCACGTTGAGGCATTGCAGTCTCGGGGGGTACCCGGTTCTCTGTGTAGGCCCTACCTGGGGATCCAAAAACCAACCGTTTTAAGGGTTAGACCCTCTGATTAAGGGGTTATAACCTACTATTTTGTAGGGTTTGGGGATACAGGTAAACCGCAAAACCCCTGACTCCTAGTCGAAGGTGCCTTTGTTCAGGGCGTTCAAGATGCTTCCCAGGCACCTTGTCCGTCTGAGCGCTCTCGATGGCGGTGTTGCAGAACACACCTCGCCAAAGCACATATGCTAAGTAATTTTGTTCCGGGTGTGCCGGCAGCAGGGCACAACTGTGAACCACTCATAGAAACAGAGGGGGCGACCATCGAAAGAGTGAAGCCGAAAGCGGGAAAGCCTGTGGCAGCACCTGACTACTCTCATGCGATCTAAGGGTCCATGTATCCAAATATTATATACTTGGGCCTTCAAATACTCCCTATATAGGTACATTGGTCCCAAAGCACATACTATATGGGTACATGGACCCTTAGGGGTTCCTTAAAGGGGATCTTTAGTAGGGTTCTACAAGACAAGGCCCTAAACCCTAAACCCTGAACCCTAAACCCTACTCCTCCGGAATCTCCAGAAAACGATCAAGCTAAGAATCCCAAGTTTCCCAGAGGGTCCATATATGCCACCATTATGGAATTAGGTCCCAAAAGACCATCCCCATTATGGGTTTTTGGGACCTGATTCCATAATAGTAGTGTATATGGACCTCTTGGTATGTAAGAATCCCAACTTTCTCACAGATACGGAAGAACCTGGTTCAGCAGAGGAGGGGCCCCATGCATACAACCACGTAGAGCCAAAAGGCCTCAACACACATGCATACAAAACTCCAAATTTCGATTGTGACAAACAGAACCCAAACCTTTCGAAGATGCAAACACCAAACTTACTATGGCAGGTGAGTCTTGTTTTGCTTAGGAAAAAAACGAGAGCTCCAAACAAAAACCTACCTTCAGTCCAAAACTGCCCCAAAAGCCCTGATCCATGGTTTTCCTTGGCCCCCCTAAGCTCGAAGCCAGAAAGTTTGAATATATGGATCATCATACGCTTAAGGGAAAGAAGAGGGAATCCCAGCATAATAACCGTAGGCTAAGGCACACTTTAAGGCTGCCCCTTTCCCCAAGGGTCCAGAGGACCAATAATTAGGTACTTGGGTTTAGGATAGTAGTTATGTAGGTTAGGATTTGGGAGAGTATACGATCATTAGGTACTTGGACCCTCAGGGTAAGGTTGAGGGTTTAGGGTTCCTTAAAGGGTTTCGATAAGGGATCTTTAAGGGTTTAGGCTTGAGGGTTTTGTGATAATTAGGTACTTGGACCCTTAGGGTTATAGTTACCTTGCTTATAACTCCACATATAACTACCCATGAACTTGGACCCTTAGACCCTCAACCCTAAACCCTAAAACCCTAAACCCTAAACCCCTAAACCAACCCTTAGACCCTTAGGGCTTTGTGAAGCAAGCCAGGCCTGTCACTACGTTGACGATGGCGAACATGGTCAGCGACACATACCTGCGGTTTGGGGTCTGGGGTTTACCCTAAGGGTCCAAAGCGGGTACTCGGCTTTAGGATAGTAGTTATGTAGGTTAGGATTTTGAAGAGTATATGATTATTATATACTTGGACCCTTGGGGGTAGTGATTTAGGAGTTTTAGGGTTCAGGGTCTGCGATGTAAGGGGCACAATTGCTTTGTGTTGTGTGTGTGATGTGTTCACTTCGAACAGATATAGAGACATATGGAACAAACAATTGTGTGTATGTAGAAATGTATCTGTTACATAGAACCGTATACATCCGAACCCCAAAACTGTATATATATATATATATATATATATGTATATATATATATTATATACCGAACCTAAAAAATGTATACTCTCTCTCTATATATATATATATACACCTTATTTGCAGCTAAGTCGACAGAAAAAAAGACAGACTGACTGATTGCTTGACAGATAGACAGATAGAAAGACAGATAACGTTCCGCATACATGAACCCAGAGGGTCCAAGTACTCCCTATTATAGGACTTTAGGGCCTTTTTTAGGTACAAAAGCCATAGATAGGAACTACTTGGACCCTTAGGGCAAACGCAGAAATGGAAACATCCAGCATGTTAAGGACTGAGGAATCGACAACGACCACAAGAACGCAGGATGGGACGGAGAAAGCATACCACATTCAACATTACTGTTTCCCTGAGCATCAACATAGCCCAAAAGCCTTATATAGTATGGTCTTTGGGCCCAACAGCCTTAATATATGAGTCCTTAGATGCCTAGGGATTAATGTGTAGGAATTTCAGTTGGTGGAGTTGACCACGGCTTTTCTACTGCGAGTGTGTCAGGAGTCTACAACTCTGTCTAGGTCCTGGATTTCAGACTAAAGCTATGCGCGAAACCGTTGACTCCACCCAGTCTCAAACATGTTTGTAAAACCTTCAATCCTCAATCGAACATCTTCCAGGCACGTCTCTAAAGACAACAATCTAACCCCGCAAAACGGAACCCTTACCTAAACCCCCCCCAAAAGTAGGTAAAACAATAGCCCAAAGCCTATGAAAGTATTATTATACATACTTCTGGGGTCCAGGTAAAGGAACCCCAAACTCCCCAGCAGAGTGGGGGGGGGGGGGGCACATGAGGTAGGACGCGAAGGCGATGGGAGACACCTCGGAGAATCCGCGTTTCACCGGTTTTAGGGTAGTTAGGCTTGAGGGGTTTGCCTCAACCCAAGTAACCTCCCTTTTTCAGGATTTATTAAGAAAAGGAAACCGTAATCGGGAACCCTAAGAGGGTTGGTTCTTCAGGGTCCAGCTGGGGCTTTAGGGTTTATGGTTGGCAGTTGCTGGTTCAGGGGACTGAGTAGGCTTAATACCCAAAGGGTCCTAGGTATTGTTATGGGGAACACTTCCCCAAATCATTTTGCCCTAGGCATCTAAGGACTCACATATTAAGGCTTTTGGGCCCAAAGACCATACTATATAAGGCTTTGGGGCTATTTTGATGCTCAGGGTTGGTAACTCCTAATATAGAACCCCTACATTCTACTGTACAGGTCCTTTGGACCCTTTGGGATAGTGAGGAGCCTTGGGACCATGGGCTCTTTTTAAAGGGATCTATGAATCTATGAGGTAGTTTCCGCAAATTAGGGGTACTTTATTTGGGGATTCTTATAACAAGGATCCTACTATTGAGATACTAGGGCCCCCCATTTTCGGAAACTCCCACGAGGCTTCTGCTAGGCTTCCCCAGGCGGCCGGGGTGCCGTGGAGGCTTGGATCTACGGCTTTGGGTTTAGGGTTTAGGGTTTACGTTTAGGGGTTTAGGGGTTGAGGTTTAGGGGTTTAGGGTTTACGGTTAGGGGTTTGAGGTTTAGTGTCCGGGCTGGGGCTTTTGAGGATTTGGGGTATGGCTTCGCAGCTTTGTAAGGCTCGTATACAAGTTTTCGCACTAAGGTTCATATCGTGTATTGATATAGGCTTGTTCTACGGTTGTTCTGGAGAAGCTGCTTTTCTGAACCTCACACTTCATGGCCTGAGTGGCGGTATGTTTCCCGTGGCAGTGGCAGTAGCGTCGTCGTAGTAGTAGCCCGGCGTCGTCGTCGTCGTAGTGGTAGAGTGGTAGTAGTAGGCGTCGTCGTAGGGTCGTAGTAGTAGCAGTAGTAGAAGTAGTCGTCGTAGTAGTAGGAGTAGTATCAATAATAATTGTTTTTGCTTTACTCCTAGCAGCCGTTGTCGTCGTCAGTCGTCGTAGTCACGTCGTCGTAGTCGTAGTAGTATACTATAATGTAAGTCGTAGTAGTAACTAGAAGATAACCGCTAGTTTCGTGGAACTTATGTAGACCACAAAAAACTAGTAACTGACTGGGAGCTTTAGCGGCGGTTCTTTACTAATCCAACGACGAGGGAGGAGGAATGCAAAGGCAGCACAAGGCTTCATGAGTCAATGAGCTAACGATGATGAATGATGAGTGCATACCCACATTCTTCGCAAATTGAACAGCAGGCGTTGTCTCGGTATGGCTTCCAGTCCCTGCAGCAATCCAGGTCCTCCGATTTGCGCCAACTCGGATGCAAAAACACCTTCGGCCGATGCAGCATCGGAGGTCTCCTGTGGCTTGCCCCGACGCACAATCTGCTTGGCGACACACCTATCAAAACGATAGACGTTCCGTCAACCCTCTCTTCGAAGCCCTCAGCAGCAGGAACCAGAGACAGTGCGTGGCCTCGCACAAGTGTTGGTGCAGGGTTGCTTGGAGCTGCTAACGTCTGCTCCTCGTCCTGCTTTTCCTTGCCTGACGCTTCTGCAAGGTCACAAGTGCAGCTTTTTCCTCATAGGACTCAAGCAGAAGCCACAAAGGTGTATGGAACCCCTGAAAGGAGCCATTTCAAGTAATCCAGAAGACGAGCCCCGATAATTCGAACAAGGTTTTGGGACCCGTTATATATCAAAGAAATAATCTCGGGAATCATCTTGGTAGTCATTCAGATGCCCCTAGTAGAACCCTGAGCCTTAGAGGAGCCGTCACAGGAACCCTTTAGAGAACCCTTCAAGGAACCCTTACAAGAGCCCTTAAAGGAACAAAAAGGCGCGACAAAAAAAACCAAGACAAGTGTGGCCTCCCGAAGAGGATCAAGGGCCGTCACCTGTCATGCAGGGTTTATGTTCAGGGTATAGGGTTTAGGTTTAGGCTTTTGGTTTAGGGTCGGAGTTTTGGTTTAGGCTTAGGACTTAGGGGGCTGTCAGGAAGCTCTGTGAACAAAGGTTTGGGGCTAAGGGTTTGGGATCTAAGAATCTAAGGGGATTTAGGGCTTTTAATCTTTAACGGCTTACGTTAGAATGAGGTTTGGGATTCAGGGTAATGGGGAGGTTTACGGTTTAGCGTTTGCAACCCCCGCATTCTAGGAACTCTTTACTATAAGACCTTGGGTCCGTTTTGGGTACCAAATACCGTGAATAAGGACTACGTGTACGCTGAGGGCAAGTGTTCACGTTTGAATAGAATTTATGGAGGTTTATAGGGTTTGGGGCTTACGATTAGCGCAAGGGTTTCGGGCATAACTCTACTTGTCATACAAACCGGAGGGTCCACACACACTACCATTGTGGAATGAAGTCCCCAAAACCATAATAGGGATGGTCTTTCACTACCTAATTCCATGGTGGTAAAATACATGGGATCTAGACCCTAAACCCTATTATAGAACACTTAAACCTTATAATAGAACCCTGAAGCCCTATTATAGAACCCTTAAACCCTATTATAGAACCCTTAAGCGCTATCATAGAACCCTTAAAGGAACCCTACCCTCTGGGCAAAGGAACCAAACGAAGCGTGTTTCCAACTATGGAGGCACCTGCCCTGCGGCTCCATAGGAGGCCCCATTTTAGGGTTCCTCCAAAAGGTACCATTAGGGTTCTACAGGGTTTTGGGCTTAAGGTACTTATACTCAGGCCTGACAGGGGTTCCTAAAGAGATACTTTTGAAGGCTGAGTATATGATACACACACACACAGAGGTATATATATATATATATATATGCATACATATAAATATGGGCGCATGGAGCCTAATGATCACCGGACTTAGAAACCAGAGTTGGGTTTCTTAAAAGGTTCTGTACCGGATCTTAAAGGTCCAATGACCCCCAAAGTATGTAGAATAATAGCCGTTTTATAGGTATTGGGCCATTATTTTACCTACTTTGCGGGTTTCTTAAAAGGTTCTGTACCGGATCTTAAAGGTTCACCTGTAGCCGGAAAGACCTACCTTTTTGGGGTTCCTCATAATGGTTTCTATATATGGTTCCTTGAAAAGGTAGGTCTTTTCGGCTACGGCAGAGATATTACGGGTTTGTGAGGATGATGGGACTTTTTAACTGGGCTCTGGATTGCTCTGACTCTGAACATCACGAACTGACGAACACAATCGTCCCCAGGCCGAGACAAGCGGCTGCGCAAGGTGGCATCCAAGGAGACGAGAGCACTCCGATCCCATTTATTGCCCAGAGGGTCCATGCATATATATATATATATATACATACTACCATTATGGATTTAGGTCCCAAAAGACCATCCCCATAATGGTTTTTGGGCCTGATTCCATAATAGTAGTGTATATGGACCTTCTTGGTTGTTGTCAAGCCTTTTGATCTCGATCCTTTCACCCCTGGTCCTCATCGTCCCAGACGCGATCCGCGGTAGGAGCTCGTCCTGCTTCGCGCCCCGGTGCTGGACACCATCGACCATGCTGGGTCGAATGGGGATTTTGGGGACGGGCCGCCCGGGGCCCGTGCCCCCGAGCCTGAGCTGTGAGGCTTCTCGCCCAGAGCCTCCAAAACCCGTTAATTAAGGAATATACCTTAAATCATATTGGGGCTCCTATTATAATTTAAGGTATATTCCTTAATTAAGGGGTTTTGGAGTCTCTGGGCGGTCTTCTCACACTCATCAGGCTCCGAGCTCGATGATCCGGATCGCGGCGAGTGATCGTGGTTTTGCGAGGGTTGTACTGTTGATGCGGGAACTGCAAATAACCCACAGCAAGGTAGCTACAGCCTTACCTGCTAAGTCTCATGGTCCTTCAAGTGCAGAAGGGGCCTTGCCTCTGGGTTTTGGGGTTTAAAGCAAAACAGTGGTTCCTTCAAGGGCTCTGTACCCTAAGGCTCAATAGAGCCCAAAAGCCTCACACAGTATGGTCTTCAGGCCCAAAAGCCTCAAGATATGAGTCCTGAGAGCCTTAGGGTTATAGGAACCCTTCAAAGGGACCTCTAGGGTTTCCTGTAAAGGGTTCCTTCAAGGGCTCGATAAGGGATTCAGGGTTTCGGGTTTAAGAGTTTAAGGGATTAGAGTCTTGGGGCCGGCGGAGTTTTAATGTAGGGGCCTGAAAAATTAGAATAGGGCTTTGGGCTCTTTTATAGTATCCGTTATGATAAGGAGCCCAAGGAATAATGTTGGTAAATGAGTTCGCTATACAAAATCTGTGCTTGGGGTTTAGGGTCGAGGGCTTAAGGTTCAGGGCTTCGGGCTCAAGGTTCACGGAAGGTTTAGGTTTAGGGCCATTTCAGGGCTTAAGGTTCACGCTGGTTTAGGGGTAGGTGCTAGGCTTCTGTATGTGGGATTGAAGCATGTCGGTTCTCGGTGTAAACTTCGGGAGTAACCTCGGTAAAACCGGTGAAGCCTCGAAAGCCACCAGTTTTGTACATGAGGTTCGATTCCTGCCACTTGAAAACATACCTCTGGATCATGACAAGTGGCCAATGCTGCTTGAGGAAGACGTCTGAACTAGGTGATACATTTCTCAAGTCTACATCCCAAGCACCCAAAAACCAAAATTTCACACCCAGAGAAAAGCCGCTGCTAACCACTAAACCCCCCAAAAGAACCCCTAAACCCTAATTCTTAAACCCCGGCCTTAAGCCTCGGGATTCATTATTACATTCTCCGGGCAGGAAATGGTTCGGATCCCCGCGCCTGGTCGAGGCCGCCCGTGATCGACAGGAACAACGTGAGCATGCTTTCCTTGGTTGCTTCAGGAGTCGAGTTGGGGTGAAGGGGTGCCAAGACTGGATGTACAACCCGCACCAGCAGCGCCCGGCAGTGCGATTTGTGAAGGGGCAGGGTTTAAGGTTTGGGGTTTGAGGTTTAGGGCTTCGGGGTTTTAGCGATAACGGCTTAACCTACTTACTTGCTTGTGCTACGTTGCAATTCACGTGAACGGAGCTCATCAGGGGTATTTCCAGGTACCTGAAAACAGGGGCTCACCCAACAACTGATGGGTCTTCCTTTTTTGAGGAGCCTGAATACAGACTCTAAACGGGGACCGTAGAAGATACTGTTGCTAATTGTTCACGCCTCTGCGTTGTAACCCTTATCGGGGGACTCACTGCGTGGGTCCAAGTACCCAAATAATCCCTTCCCCCTTTTTAAAGAAAAACACCCCCTAATAATAAACAAACTTGGGCGAATCCTCCCGAAATCATCCCTGCCTTTGCAAACCTGTTCTGAATTAGGGGGAGGGTTTCGAGGCTCCAAGTAACTACCCTCAGAGCACAGTAAGAGCGAGAGCAACGGCAAGAGCAGGAGTTAGAGTTAGAGCAAAGCAAAAGCGGGAACATCAGCAAGAGCAAATCAAAAGCAAGAGCGGGGAGCAAGAGCAAGAGCAGGAGCAAAAGAGGGAGCAACAAGAAGAGCAGGAGCAGACGCAGTAGAAGCAGGAGCAAAAGCCAGCGCGGGAGAAAGAGCCAGAGCAGGAGCCATGACAAATACAATCGGAACTCCAAGGAGCTGTGTTTGCAGGTGTTCAGCTTGAAATTAGAGATGACCTGGCCTTATAGTATGTAGTCAACACAGTAATCCTCAGGGACCTTAGCATTCCTGAACATCCAAACTGAAGAATCGAAGAAATGTAACGGCTTTAACCAGCCCCGGGGGGCCATGCACGTACCTAAATAATATGAACTTTGGCCCCAACGTGCCTATATGGGAGTTCCCGAAGACTAGGAGTACCTTATTTGGGGGTCCTTATAATCAGATCACTTTTTTGGGGTGCTATATTAGGGTCCCCTATTTTCGGAAACCCCCATATCAGTACTGCTTTGAGGCCAAGGTATATACGCAGGACATGAACCCACGACTGATGGAACATGGTTTTAGGATGATTAGCACAAGGACTGGGGCTCCGATTCCTTCACAGGTATGAGGAGACAATGTGTTTTTTGTTTAAAAAATGAACTTCTAATTCATGTAGTGTACCTTTCTTGGCTTCTTTTCTGTTCAAGCGGCTACGGATACACGGAGCCTTCATCCCTAAAGCCTATAGAACCCTCAAAGGAACGCTATGGCCAAGCTCCCCCCGATCTCTAGCCCAGCGACCGGGATGCTGGACCATTGCACATACCTCACCCAGAGGGTAAGGTCTAGGGTTTGGGGTTAGGAGTTTCAAGGGTTTAGGGCTGAGGCTTGAGGGTCCAAGCACCCAAGTAGTAGGATTTCAAGCCACAAATACCATACTCCTCATGGTTTTCGTTCCTAAAAGACAATTCTATTTGGGTAGTTGGACCCTATAGGTCAGCGGGCACTGAGCGGGGTCCTCGTTAATACGGGTCGTATATCGCTTCACAGGTGTTTACTAGGCTTCATCCGACTTTCATGTGTTCAGCAACTGCGCTTTATTTGCCATGGGTGGTTGGGGATATATGATTTTACCGTAATTGTCACGCTTAGCTAGGACACAGCGAGGCTGATGAAACTGGTTCGGCGTGGTTCGGGGTGTACGACATTATTAAGGGGTAAGTTTTGATCTCTGAGGTAATTTGGAATTTGGATGTTCACCATCTCTTGCGAAGCCAACATGGAACCACAGGAGACTATGGGCGGGTGTGCACTGGTAGCACACAAGGCTACTCCAATTACATACTCGCTGAATTCAGCACATTCAAAAAACCGTAAATCCTGTCATAGAGGAACTGCTCGTATCGGTTGGTGTATACTCAGTGTTTACCTTGTTTGGCTATCCCTGTGGTACCCTTTGTATTCCTTATTGAGGGGTTGTAGAGCTCTCCGCTCAAGTTCTACAGCACAAAACGAAGTCGCTGGGCTTAGCAATCGGTTATGAGACACACGGTCCCCCTTCGGCGCTTACGGTTGTGTTACTTCAGCACTCAGTTATATTGCCACCCGCATGATTCAGTGCTCCAACCGACTCTGACCTTGTAGCACAGCAAGCAAAACCCTGCAAAGTAGCTACACCCTGAAAACACCATAGGCTCTCAACCCTAAACTCTGAACACCAAGTCATCGCTTGACATGGCGAGACTAGAAGACCCTACATCCAAAACTAATTACCACCCTAAGGCTCCTAAGAGGGTCTTGGGCTTTCTGGCAGAGGGTTTCGGCTTTGGGGGCTAGGGCTGGGGACCTCACTCCAAGGGTCCAGGAGCCCTTAGGGTACAGTATCGAAAGAGGTTGCAGGCCAGTCATAAGATTTCCGACTGTCCTTTCTTTACCCCAAACTCCAAACCCCGAAAATAAACCCTCAACCCCAAACATCAAACCCGAGGTTCCTAACTCCCAGAGGGTCCAAAAAAACACTACGATTATGGAGCTAGGTCCTAAATATGGTTTGGGGACCTAATTCCATAATGGTAGTGTATATGGATGCTCTGGGTGTTAGGGGAACCCCATTTAAGCCCCTATATTATAAGAACCCCTATAGTACCCCTTATAGTAACCGTTTTCAAACAACCCTACTATAGATCCCTTATAGATCCCTTTAAAGCACCCTTTAACGGAACCCTACTATAGATCCCTTGTAGACTGTAGCCAGAGAACTGACTCGGAAAGATCGGTATGGCGTTGATGTCGCCTCCGTGTGCGAAGAAAGCATGGACCCATCATAGGACTTAGTACGTTAGGGTTTAGGGTTTAGGGGTTCAGGGTTCCGGGGTCTGGGTTTGGGGGTTTAGGGCTTAGAGATTTAGGGTTTAGGGTCTAGGATTCAGGGTCTGGGGTCTATAGTATATGTAATGTATGAGGTTGCAGGTAAGGGGTTGTAAGTTGTAACTAACCCTAAGGGTTAAGCTCGCAACTGGACAACAACTTGTTCACAAAAACCAATGAGATCATAGTGCTTCAGACCTGAAGCCCTACAGTACTACTTGGTTACTTGAACCCTCCAGGTCAGGTCAGGGGTTGCGTGACATGTATAGTAGTCGGCGATATTATCCGAGCTACTAAAACTGAGTTCCATGATCCTTTAAGTACAGGAAGCCAGTGAATTTGATGTGACCCGGTTTGAGACCGAAAGACCAGAACCCTAAACTGCAAAACCCAAAGCCGGAAAGAGCCCTCGCAGGGAACAAACCAAAAACAAAAAGTATACGATGATATTCATCCAGGACTAGGATGCCCAGTAACCTAGGAATGAAAAGGGCTTCCTTTTTGGTATTGGGTACCTTGATAAGGAACCTAGGATTACAACAAAGGAATAAGGGTACTACTGGGCATCCTAGAGGAAACCAACCTCCTGGGATGAGCCCTTAGCCGGACACCCCAGAACCCCTAGCCTTACCCTTGAAAACTCCCTGTGTCCCCGCGTAACTTCAAGGAACCTGTTCTAGAAAATGATTCTGCTGGTTGCAAACCCAAACGCGTTGCCGAAGAGCTCGCGCACAGCATCCTTCAGCGTCTCGTTGTAGAGACGGTGGCCCTTCTTTACCATCAGGGACAAGGCATAGCGGTCGAGTATGTTTGTCACCCACCCCACGTGTGCATCTTTTTTGGCGATCCCGGTGTAGAATATGCCGGTGTCTGAGGCGGCTGTGGCTGCCGCGCCCGACCCGACCTCGAGATCGGTCACCATTTTCACGCCGAGCTGGGAGAACAGCATGGCGTAGACAAGCTTGCTTTTCGATTCTTGCCAACAAAGCGGTACTCCTGTGCCAGTCGGCCACTTGGGCGCTCTGCGGGATCCCTGGCTGGAACCGTTTAAGTGACTCTCAAAGAGCTCTTCAAGGACCTTGGCAAGGAAGCTGCTCCACCATAGATGCTGGAATCCAAAAGCGCGATAAAGCCCCAAATAATGGGATCCTTACAATAAGGACGACCCAGGTTGCACAAAGCCCCGCAAGGATATTCCCCGGAGAAGCATCCAGTACGACAGTCTGGAGACTAGTCAAGTTACTTGTCGTCGCAATGTGAACGTGGTTTGCTAGCACTTAAAAGCACTCGTAAAGTTTAGGTGTTTGGGGCTTACGATATACAGTAAGGTTTAAGTTTTACGATGATAAGCGGGCGAAAGACAAAGCGCGAGAAACACACTTCCAGGAGAAGATCTGCACTCCCGCACGATCCATACCACCTACTAACTTAAAGTTCCTCAAATTAAACATCCTGAGCGCCTTAACGGGTTCTATAAGGGATCCTTAACGGGTTCCATAAGGGATCTCGAGTAGGTTTTGGGGTGTCGAGCATCTTTACCGAAGCGCAGATTCTCGAGCGGCTGGAAACCCAAAACTACCCTGATTCGGGTTGAGGCTGCTACTTGGAGGATCATGGGACTTAGTATGTAAAGTTACAAGTACCTTAATTGGGGTTTTAAGTAGTTTTGAGTATAGTTACCGTAACTATAATCCCTTGTTACTAAGTCCCATGATCCTTTAAGTAGCCATGTAAAAAAAGATTGGGAGCCCTAAATATTCAAAGCTGCAACCAAGCTGCTATATCCCTGAACTCGATAGCACTAGACTGGAAGCTAGAAAGTAGAGTACCGAATTTGGGCTGAACCACCAAAGTAAAGGGTACTTGATAGGAACCCTTTTCAAACATCTACATTCTTTGATGGATCCTCCCATGGGGTCTGGGTAGGCTCTTCCCCAAAGGGTCCAAGTACCCAAATAGTAGGGTTTTAGGTCCGAAAATCCATACTCTGAATGGTGTTTGGGCCCTGAAACCCTGCTATTTGGGCACTTGGACCCTTACCTAGACCCCAAACCCTAAACCCTTAACCCTAAACCCCAAAACCCTAAACCCTAAACCCTTAACCCCAAACCCTAAACCCTAAACCCCAAACCCTAAACCCCAAACCCCAAAACCCTTAGTGTTCCGACTCGAGGGCCTCCATCCTCGATGGTCTTTGCACGGCAGTAGTCTGACACAAGCCTGCTTAAAGCTTAGTTTAGGGTTTAGGGATCCTTGAAGGGGATCCTTAAAGGGTTCCTTAGAGGGATCTAAAGGGTTTAGGCACAAGACTGCTTAAAGCATCAGGGCTCTTTAAAAGGGCTCCTTGAAATGAAGGTAAAATAATGCCTTTAAAGGGATCTATAAGGGTACCTTAAAACTTAGTTTAGGGTTTAGGGATCCTTGAAGGGGATCCTTAAAGGGTTCCTTAGAGGGATCTAAAGGGTTTAGGCTTAGGGTTTACGGTCTATATAGTGCTTAAAGCATCAGGGCTCTTTAAAAGGGCTCCTTGAAATGAAGGTAAAATAATGCCTTTAAAGGGATCTATAAGGGTACCTTTAAGGGCTTCCTTTAAAGGATCCTGATGGGACTTAGTAACTACCTAGATCCCCCAAAGTAGGTAAAATAATGCCTTTAAAGGGATCTATAAGGGTACCTTTAAGGGCTTCCTTTAAAGGATCATGGGACTTAGTAACTACCTAGGTCCCCCGAAGTAGGTAAACTAATGGCCCAGAACCTCTAAAAGGCTACCATTCTACATACTTTCCTGATGGGACTTAGTAAAAGAGCTTCCTTTAAAGGATCATGGGACTTAGAAACTAGGGCTCCTTAAAAGGGATCTGCAAGGTTTCTATAAGGGGGGTTTAAGGGTACTTTAAAGATCATGGGACTTCGTAACTAGGGTGATAATTTCGGTAACTATGCTTAAGTATTAAGGTACTTCCAAGCGCAGCAAGTGCCCGGCCTCTGGGTTCGGGGGTTTAGGGCAAGAGCGTGGCCGTAATTGATAGAAGAAGCTTCCTCTACAGGGCTCCTTCCAGGACTCTAGAAGGGATTGAGGGTAAGGATCTTAAAGGATCCTGATGGGACTTAGTAACTAGCTACCTTGGGCCTTCAAGGGTTTGAGGGCTTGGAGGACTTGGCATTTGGGGCCCATGACTGTGGCGGCGGATCATCTTGAAAAGTAGCGCCTACTCGTCCCTGGCGTTACGTCGGCCGGGCTCTGACTGAGTACTAGCATGCCCAGTAACCTAGGAATAAATTGGGCTCGATTTTTGGTATTGGCTACCTTTATGTTATGAACCGAGGACTACAAAAAGGGAATGAGGGTACTGGGCATCCTAGAGTTTACTTTCCAGACAGTGCCTTAACCGCTCGCCCCAAACACCCAGATCATCGGCCTTTCAAGAACAAACAAGTCGGGACAGGGATTTGGGTCGGAAGGTGAGGGTTGAAGGTTAAGGGTTGAAACAAATAAGTATATGGGACGATATGCAGGGCTTAGGGTCTAGGATGTTGGTCTTGGTTGTGGTGTAGGGTTTAGGTTGTCGGTGACGCATTGAACATATATGAACAGATAGATATGTATGTATGTATGTTTATATGTATATTTACAATATACATATATATATATATATGTATATCTGTATGTATGTATACATTTAGCTCTTTATCTATTTATGCACTTGTGTTTGTATTTCTCTTTGTTTACATACATACATATATTTGTAGAGGGAGGGAGAGGGAGAGAGAGAGAGAGAGAGAGAGAGAGAGAGAGAGAGAGAGAGAGAGAGAGAGAGAGAGAGAGAGAGAGAGAGAGAGCGAGCGAGGGAGCGAGGGAGAGAGGACGGAGAGAGAGAGGGGGAGAGAGGGAGAGGAGAGGGAGAGAGAGAGAGAGAGAGAGAGAGAGAGAGAGAGGGAGGGAGGGAGAGGGGGAGAGAGAACCCTATGGAGCCCGGTACACTTCTATAACCAACAGAGCCGGGAAGCTGCGTGAGGATCACCTGAGACGACGAGACGTCTTGGGTTCCGCTCTGAGGATCTACGGTTGAAGGGATCTTTCTTCAAGGGTACTGTAAGGGGTTCTATAGGATTCCGTTAAAAGAGAGAGGTCCAAGGTTCCCTTTTCAAGGATCCTTCCTCAAGGCTCCTTTAAAGGCTCCCTTAAAGGTCCTACGAAGGTCTTAGGGCTCCTGTCAGGCTTTTCCAGCTCCCTTAAGGGCTCCTTCTTTAAGGGCTCCTGTACGGTGCTCCTTCTGTAAGCGTCCTTTCAGATTCCTGTATAAACGGGGTTTGGCTGCTTTGAATGCTACTGCAGGGATCCCGTAAAGGAAGTATAAGTGTGCTATAGGGCGCTTATGGTTTCCTGCTTCCCTTCTAAGGTTCAACTGAGGGGTGCTATAGGCGCGGCTATTTGGCATGATCTAGGGCTACGGGTTCTTTTAGCAAGGGTTCCTGCAAGAGTTTGGCGTTGCCAGGCTTCGGGTTAGATGCTTACCACAACGACCACCAGCAGGAGCGCGAACGCGAGACAACCGATGAAATTGTAATCCCTAATCTAAAGCCTTTCAAAGGCTATTATTATGTATTCTACATACTTTTGGGGTCCAGTTAATCTAGAATCTAGACTCTGGAATCCTGGAATCCAGAAAAGGACTCGAAACTCTTCAAACTCTACCTGGAGGGGCAGGGGACTTAGTAAGTCGTTTCTAAGTCGGGTTATAATTGGGGTAACTCCATTTAGGGTACTTATAACTCTACTTATATCCTACCTACTAAATCCCTGCCCCTCCAAGTAATTATTCCGTTTGTTGATGCTGCTGTCGAGAACCCAGGAGGTGTTAGTGTTGGTCTGGGTCTTCCAACTAGGTCCAAGTCTTAGTTCTGGATTCGTGTTATACTTGCTGC